ATCTCTCCATCATCCGCTGGTGGGTGCGGGGACCGAGCCAGCGGGGCGGCTGGGGAGACCCCGGCTGGAGGTGGTAGCGGGGGGGCGAGGTGGTGCGGCTGGTCTTCTATCCCCCCCCCTCCTCCCTCCCGCCCCATCCTTGCCCGGGGGCTGGCAGGACCTACCGGGTGGGGCTTGCTACAGGGAGAGCTGGAACCCAGCTTTTAACACTTGTCTTGTAGGACAGGAGTCTGGTTTGCTGGGTAGACCCCATCATAGACTGATAGAATCACAGAGTGGTTTGGGTTGGAAGGGATCTTAAAGATCATCTAGTTCCAACCCCCTGACATGGGCAGGGACACCTCCCACTAGAGCAGGTTGCTCAAAGCCCCATCCAGCCTGGCCTTCCAGGGATGGGACATCCACAACTTCTCTGGGCAACCTGTTCCAGTGCCTCACCACCCTCACAGTGAAGAATTTCTTCCTAATACCTAATCTAAATTTTCCCTCTTTCAATTTAAAACCCTGCCACCTCGTCCTATCCCTACACTCCCTGACAAAAAGCCCCTCCCCATCTCTCCTGTAGGTCTGCTTCAGGTATCGGAAGGCTGGTATAAGGTGTCCCTGGAGCTTTCTCCAGGCTGAACAACCCCAACTCTCTCATCCTGTCTTCATAAGAGAGGTGCTGCAGCCCTCTGATCATCATGGTAGTGCATAAACCATGTCATGAAAGCAGGGACATTTCCCTGAAAGTCCATCTGCCACAAATCTTACTGATGTGGGAGCGGTTTGACATGGGGGAAAGGTGGTTTTGCCTCATCCTACCCCCTCATTGGGATCTGGCTCACGGGCTGCCATCCACTTGACATGATGCTGCAGTGCAGATGGCCAAGGATCATCCCCGGCTGGACCAATTGTGGCTGCTGTGTTTTTACAGTGGCCGATGGCATGCTGAGTGATTGATGTTCTCCAAGGTTATGTTTCCTTGAGGCAAAGGTAATGGTCAAACTCTCCAGTGAGAAAGATACTTTCTGTAGTAGAGTAAGGTTGTCACCATCATTTTCTTGTGCTTTGAGAAGAGCATCATCTGCCACGGGACAACCAAGGAGAAACCAGGGTTACTTTTCTTCTTTCACCAAGCACAGCTGAGTCCAGCTAGAAAGGAGTGTTGAAGCTTTGGGTGAAACAGCAACAACACACACAAGCAAGCATTTAACTTGACAGCAAGTAGTCTTCAGTCTCTTTATTCCCCCTCTCAGTAATACCTGAGCAGCGGGAGTTTTTCTGTGTTTCTGCTGTGATACAGATACCACTGCTCCCATTTTAAAAGGACTGAAGGAAAAGATTCATCTAAGGTCATCCAACGAGTTTGGGACACTGCATAAAACCGAATTATAAACAATCCTTGAAAGGATGAACTGATGATTTTTTCATCACAACAACTTTCTGAATCACCTTTTCATGTTTTGAGAATTTTTAAATATTTAGCTTCATTTTACGGTTGGTGCATTGACAACAGCAAACCAGGTTTTAGTCCAGAAATGGTTTAACAGCTGAATTGTGAACCTGTATAACAGCCTGCCTGCCTAAGGTTCACACATAACAGGTGGAAAACCCCCAAAACTGCAGTCCACGTGAGGCTCTAGAATCAATCAGATAAGAATCCCAAAGGAAATTGTGGATAGAAAGTAGCAGACAAATGGAGGAGGTCTTTCCCTGTGTGCTTTTTCTTTAGCCTCTGTCTTTCTTGCTCATCACTCTTTCCTTTTGCTTCTGTTGTCTTTATTAACAGTATTGTTTTGATGCACACCGTAAACACTCAGGTTTTGAGAACCTTGGGGCTAATAGGTAAGAAGATACGTGCTGTGCTCTTTTCTGTGTGCGTTTTTACTTTTCCTGATAGACAGTATTTTTGTATTATGTGTCAGCACTGAGAATGTGTTTGACGTCTTATTTGAAAAAGGCTGCCAGCTTAATAGATGATAAGTTCATGAAACAAAATTCTCAAATATTTGGTTGCTAAATGGTTAAATGCTGGGGCAAAACTATTGGCAGAAACCTGCTACTGAAGCACGAGTTAATTTCTGCAGCACTTCCAATGACTCTTGTGGTGTTATATTAAGGATGGATTTGGACTTAGATTTAATCTCCTCTGGGACTGCTCAATTACGAAGGGTATTGAGGTGGTTGCTCTAGAAGAAACAAGCATTTCTGCCTACTGTCAGGACCCTTATCTAGCATAAATTTCATTTACCTTTCAGCCCCATGATGGGGGAAATGCCCTGTTGGCTCAGCAGATCCCCAGTCTTCGGTGCAGGTTCCTGCTCATGTCTAGCCGTGAAGCCTTTGCTGTTGGGTGGTAGGGCTGGAGGTGGTGAGGAGCTGGCAGGGAGCCCAGCATGGCTCAGCCCCAGTGCTTGGCAGCACCAGCCTCTTGGGTTGGTGGGTGAGAAGATGGGCTCCAAGGAGATAAAAGCGAGGCATCTCGGGGCCCTTTGCTAGGGAGAGGGAAACCTGGGGGAGGCAGTCAGCCTTCTTCCCTGGAGAAAGGGGAGAAGGAACGAAGAGAAGGGGAGGTAGACATCATCAGACTGCACAGCGATCACAGTCTTGCTCAGTCTGTTCTAGTAAGCTGGTTTGCTGAAGACTTTATCCACTGTCTACTGCTACTTCAGGTAATACACTGGGTCGCCTGAAATCAGGCTGCTAATAAAAGAGAGGATGCTGGTTTAAAATCCAACGGGCTTATCTCACCTGGTGATTATGAAAAGTCTGCTTTCCCAACCAGCTCGATTATCAGTAAAGACACAATGAGTAACTGGCACGGTGCTGCACCAGCATTCATCTGATAAATTAATTAAATATGCTTGCTATAACGGAAGCAGAGTCACAGTAAGAAAACACTGTCATACGATCAGTGTGTCATGCTTTGAAAATTAATCTCTCTGCTTCTTTGCTCCAGCTTTGCTCCTGTATTTGTAGGAAGCTATTATCTTCTGACATCGAAACCATTGGCATGATCTCATAATTAAAGGTCTTTTTTTTTTTTTTTTTTTTTTTTTTTTGGTGAAGTCAAGAAGAGTTTTATTGGTGTCACTGATTCTGGGACTCCTGTCCAAAAGATGTCTTGATTGCTTATATAGAGATAACACAGAAATGCGCTGAGGCAAAAACCCTAGCTGAGAGAAGAAAATGCAGGTGTTTTTTAAAATTAAGTTTTTTTTTTTTTTTTTTTTTTTTTTTTTCTGGTGAAGGTAATACCTTAGGCTAATAAATAACTAGTTTACGTCTCCCTCACCTTATTCACACAAGTAGTTGCATTTACTTGACTATGACCATTCTGATAAGTAGGATGAGTAAAGGATTTGGCCAGAGGATGAGTATTTAAACACCTAAATCAGTTTCAGTCCTGGTTACATAGTAACCACGAATTAAAATTCTGTTATCTCATTAAACTGGTGCTAAAGTCAGTGAGGTTGTATGAGAACAGAATTTGGCCTTTCTTAGGTTGTGCACTCTGTCCTAAAATATCATATTGGACATTGTAGATGGAAAAATGCTTGTCATATTATCTTTGGTATAGTGGAGACCTCTATAATTAGGAGATCAAAGTTACATCCTCTTTGAGAGATGCTAATATTTTGTGTATTGGTGTTAATGTCATAATGATATTTCTAAGCTGTATTTTTTTATTAAAAGCTGTGAGATCTAGTTAATTTATTAGAAGAGTCTCACATGACCTCTCTTACATGCTGGAAACCAGGAAAGTGGAATTAAAAAACGTTAAAAACAAGCAGAATATAATATATGTATATAAGAGGTATCTTTTTTTTTCCCCCAGAATATAGATTACACAGAAGTAATAGTTCTTTTTTTTTTTTCTTTTTATTCTATGCTTCTATAAAATCAGAGTAACTGTTACAGAGTTCAATGCAAAGCTGGTGAGTTATTACAATCTCACGATAACAATTCTTTCTTCTAATTCTGCTATTGATGTTTTTGTTTTAAAGGATAGCTGATAATTTCTATTTGTGTGAAGGATGCACCGTACCCCGTTGGCTACTATATGAATTGTATATGGAAGGCTGCGGTCCAAATTCCAAGTATCAAGTAAACTCAGCCACCTTTGGAAAGGTACAGAGTAGATAGGATATATAAGATAAGAAGATATATTACGAGATAAGATATAAGATATATCATAAGATAAGAAGCAGAGATACCTAAACAGAAAATCTGATGCTCAAATATACAGACTGCATATTTAAAGAAATTAAATAATAGAGAGGAATGAACATGTAATGTATTATAGTTGTTTCTTCTCTAATGTATGTCTGGTAAGCCCTCATGTAGACACTTTTATATTAGAGGAAAGAGTATCGCTTGTGGTGGAATTTTTTTTTTGGGGGGAATTGGTCTATGTTATACTAGCAAAGATTTATTTTGCCAGTATATTTTAGAAAGCTTTACCAGGGTAAACAGGACAAGGTTAATAAACTTGTCCTGAGGAGCTGGTTCTTCTGTCCTTAAAATACCCCTTTCATTGTTACATAATGTTATACTTTTCTTTTTAAATATGCTTACAGAGATTTTGCTCCAAACACACTCTAAAAAAGGTGTTACAGAATCATCCAAGCAAAACAAATGCAGATGTAAAACCAAATCTCCTTCAAACAGTTCCATTTTTCTAATACACCATGTATTAGGTTGATACAATCCACAGAGAAATTATGACTTAGAAATCCTAATCTCAACAAACACTCGTAGCTGTTCAACTTTATTTAAGAAATTAAGAAAGACAGAATGCCTTGTGATTATTTGTTGCACAAGACTTTTTATTCAGAATTTCCTATTTTTACCACTGATACTATTTCATTAGTGCCCATGGTAGAAGCTACTAAACATTTTTTTATCACAAAACCAAAAGAATTTAAGTAGAAGTTGTACCTGAAATCAATTTCATTTGTGCAGATAACCTTGGCTGATGAATCATTTCTCTCAATTCAGTTGAATCTAATTTTCTTTTTTTACTGGGTAAGTTAAATCACTTAAGATTTGAGTGAGGTATGCAGCGTGATTTATTACCATAGCTTAATGGATCATCACCCATCAGCCAAGCCCATGGCTTGGCTCGGGGTAGATGTCTGTTGTGAAGCTAGTCACCTTAAGATCTCTTGGTAGTCAATGGAGAGAAATAAATAGCTACATATGATTCCTCTCACCCTAAATGAGTCATCTCAGGCAGCTCAGAAGAAATGTGCTTCAGAACCGTCTGGTTTTCTCCATTGACTACAGAGTCTGCAGCAACTAGCTTAGACATCTCTACCTCGTAACCACACAGGTAAGATTAATCCTATCCTGTCTGTACACTCTCAGGTGCTCCAGCGTGACGGAGTTACCACCTGTAAGCTAAGCCTCCTTGTGGTTTAAGTTAATGCATTTTACTTTTAAGTTGGGACAGGCATGGATGAAGCATGAGCCTGGTCACGCAGGCGAGCTTAGCTGAGGAGCCACAGCTGCCGTAGGCCGGTGCTTGCAACTCTTTGCTCACAGCCCTATCCTGCCCCAGTGCATCGGGGTGCAAGTTAACACATCTCAAGTGAGCAACCTGGGGTGCAGGTCTCCAGTGGCTTCATATGGTCTGGCCTTCTGAAGCAGGAGGTGGGACCCCGCAGCAAGAGGCTGAGGAGGGCAGGAGCTGCACCAAAACGCTGGTTTAAACTGAAGGTGCACGTGTCGATGGTTACCACGGCCTAGCTAATGGGATGAGCTCTTAATAATCCATCAAGCTGTAGTAACTCGAGTGCATTATGTAAGGACTTCTGGAGTCAAGTCCCCTGTGAATCAAACTGTAATGATTTAAAACACCACTAATACCAACTGCCCTATCCTGCTGCCCAAACACACCGCTGTCTCTGTAGAAGAGGCAGTGGGAAGAAGTATGCCTCTCATGGCACAGAAACCCCAGTTTCATAGTCTGTCCTCCTTGTACGAAAATGGGACTATGCTAAAATACCATCTTGATCAGCTGGGGTGGGTGCACAGGGAAATGTGTAAAGAACAGGACCACTCCAACACCGTTAAAACTGGAGGTGCGCGTCGGTGTGAGTCAGGGAAATTTGTCCTTTAGCAGGCTTTTGGACCAGCAAAATGCACTTTGCACGAAGTCCAAGTTTTGCACTGCTAAGTGGAGGCTCCCCACACTCCCCACTAACGTTGAGTACTTGATCCTCTGTCCCTGCTATATAGGGAACGTTAGCTCCAGCTGTCCTGGGTTAGTCTGTCTGCACGGAACAGCTCATGCAGAATAATCACAGTGACGTGGATTATAACCCTGACAGTATCTTATTACTCCGTAGGGCCTAACCTTGACAGATGCTGCGTGACCTCGGTTCACATTCACCACCAGGGTGGTCAAAAGGTTGCTTTGCAGCTTGATGATTCGGGTCCTTTTGAAACAGATTAAGTCAGGCCCTATCCTGCAAGTACTCCTTGCAAGAGCGAGTGAGTAGGTGAAGCCCCTTGTGTGATTAAGTCCTTACCCGAGTGAGTAAGGCTTGCAGGTCTGGCAGAGAATCACAGCATCTTCAAGTACCCCTAGCCCATATACCCTGCTTGCCTGTGGGTGGCCTCCTGGTGTGTTTCAGTGCAAGATAAACCAGATTAGTCTAAAATTTCCTACCTGAGGGAGGTAATCCCTTAAATTGCTTAGATTTCGATTCACAAAAGCCTGACTGTGTTCAACAGTTGCCATTTGAGAGGTGTGCAAGAACAGGTATGAAGCCTGCAAATGATGGAAAGCAAAAGAAATGAGCAAGGAGAAAAAAATGTAGCAGATACGTGTTTGCATTTTAGAATGAATTTACCAAGTATCCCCAATTTTCTGTTTGGTTTTTTTTTTTTTAGCTTATTCGATTAGTTTTCCCAGGTCTTGGGACAAGAAGGCTGGGCACAAGAGGGAGTACCAGGTAATGGTTTTGCTACCTTTGTTTAAAAATGTTGTTTGTAACTGTTCTAATTAAATTTTAAAATGGCTGAATTTTCATCTCCAGCACTGTAACCCAGCAGCTTAATTGTTGGTTGCAAGTCTGTACTACATTGCAAGATCCAGAGTGATTTGTGATGTCACCAAAAACATTAAAATAGAGTTAATTCCATGAGAATCACCACATCAGAGCTGCTTTGGTAGGGCATGAATTCCAGATCAGACTGGTCTTAAAAAAAAATTAGCGCTTTGAGTTGTAATAGCTTTTACAACATGGCTTGCATGAGGCATCTGCCAGACATTATATCCTTACTCAGAGCTCTTGAGACATGCAGGGTCAGGAAAGCCTGGATCCAGGATGCACGGGGGTGGCAGCCGTGATTAATGTCTGTGTTGTGCTTTTCATCATTGCACGTATCTGTGGAGTGACCCAGCACGTACTGGTGGTCAATGGAAATGTCGTAAACAGCTTAAAACCATTTAAATCAGACCACTTCAGATCCTCTTCCTACCTTTCTTTCTTCCGCGTTCCCTCTCTTCTTCTAGAGCACAGAGAGTTTGATGCTTTTTCATGGATTCAATGAATTTATAATCACACTTGGAATATCCAGACTGGAAAAAGAGATGTTTTAAGGGCATTTGGACACGGTAATTTTACAAGCATTTTGAGTAGCTGTCAAGGGCTGGCTTTGAGATAGACATGCCCTTACTTGATCTGCGACTTTTCTCCACTAGTCTGGACTTGCTATCAGCTTGATGCAGCAAGATCCTTTATTTTGGGAGTGCCTCACCGCAGACACTCCCAGGTTTCTCCTCACAGCTGGCAGGATTTGGGACGGTGCGTGATAGCCCCCAGTCTCCGTGCTCTCTCTTCCCATCAGCAGAAGGTTACCCTCTGCTGGCTGCTGGTGGCCTGGAACCACAGCACTGATTCCCTGGCTTCCCAGTCACCCAGCCTGGGAAGAGCCAGCTGGCAGCACCTGGGTAGCAGGGATGGTGACTCTGCTGCTCACCAGGGTCAGGATAAACCTTAGAGAAGGTCTGGTGGGTTTCTTGGGTTTTAGCTTGCCATGACAAGCAACGAGCCATCCAGTTCCTAAGCTACCGTGAATGGCTGCAGAACAACTGTACCAAATCCTTCAGCTTCCACTGGGATATGGGGTCCTCTGTCAGCTGAGACTCTGGTTCCTGACTTCTCTAGGTGTCTTGTACAAATCTATTGCACTTCCATCCACTGGTTTAAGTTTTTTTTTCATTTAAAATAAGGTACCATTCCAGGCCAAAAAATATTAAAAAGAGTTTGTAAAGACTTTGAGAGTTCGTGCAATTACCTTCTGTTGGGGAAAATAAATTTTCAACAGAATTTAAAAAGAATAAATGTAGCTTTTTTTACTTGGTCTTTTCTTGTTTAAATAGGATGATCATCTGGTTTTGAAGGAAGAATATTTATTTCCTGACTTGTTGAAAATCATATGCTTATCAGTTCATCATTTGTTTCTTTTCTAGGTATCATTATGATGGAATAGCTATCAAGAAAAACTCTTCCTTTTATGCACGTTATTGCTGTCTTCTGTCTGAAAAGAATTATCTCAGGTTTGTTTTTTAAATATTTTACTCACAAAAAGTCACATGACAGTCTATATATTGTCTGTATATAAAAGCCTGTAAATAATCTGTTGAAGACTGACAACAGTATTATATTTTTCTTATTACTATAAACACTATAAAAGTGCTCTGCCCTAATAGAGATGGCTCTATTTTGAAAACATGTCCTACCTAATCATACTTCCTTGAATTGAACATTATAGTCATGTAGATCTTAAGAGCAGGAACTCATGCCACACACAAAAGAGGAGCTTAATACAGTCAGACTCTAAATGGGAGCTCAAATAAACACATTGACAATTACTTCATGATATTGTAGCACCTTCCTTATTAAACAGTAGGCTGAAGAGACATATTAAAGTATAAATGACTACACTGTTTTGAAGAGTGCTACACGCAACCATATTATCAGGATTTTTTTATTACTTGAAACTAGGCATATTACTTTGAAAACACTTCCTTCATTTAATTTGAAAAGTTCAGATTTGAAAGTCATCTCTTGTAAGGGAACAGGCATAAGATGAGTAGAAATTTATTGCAAAAATTAGAAGTCTAAAAATCCTTGATGTGTGTAAGATACTTTGGCAGACTAAACTGTACACATGAGCACGTACAAGTTGTAGGCAAGGGAAGGAAGAGTTCTCTTGGTTAAGCTCATGGTTGAGATAAACACACCACAAGTTTGCGTTTCTCCCCAGAAAAAAAAAGGAAGGGAAATGCTGCTACAGCTTAGCGATTTTACACTCCTTTTAAATGCACAGAAGAAAAATACCTGCAGCCAATGGCTTGGACTTTGGAGACAGGGCTCATATCTTCACTGTCTTACAGACTTGTACATGACTTTTATGTGTAAACAGATAAGTTTTGCACTTTGGTTTCCACTGTTTAACATGGAGATATAGCATTTTTCTATAGCATGAATGTTGGAGTGATACAAGTCAGCCTATTAAGCACCTGCATATTCTGGTGATGATGAAAGTTGTTTCGGTGTCTGTGATATTTTACAAGATAGTTGTTTAGTTGAATAATAGAGCTCTGCAAGAGAACGGAAAAATCATACCCATGTGTCAGTTGCCTTCCTCCATGGGTTTTATAGCAGAGTAATGTTGAAGGAGTTCATAGAGTGACAATGGTAAAGAATGGGACAGGACAGAGGATCAGGTTCTGTGGGTGATCAAGTGACAATTGGTTGCTGTGAGAGCAAACAAATTATTTATAGGCAACTTGAGGCTCCTTTCCCATGAGACCCTTACTGAAGTGATATCCCTCACTAATCATGCACCCAGGACAACCAGAACAGGCCTAAGATTTGACGCCTATAACAGGGAAAGGTCTTGGCCACTATTCAAGGAACTTTGTGGGTCTGTGACTGGCTCTCTTCTTGTCTTTCTTCTTCAGGGCAAGAAAGGTGTTTCCTTGAAGTTTCACTTGGAAACAGCAGTCTTGCTGGGCATAGTAGGAGAGCTGCTAGTTCTCCTCCCCCTCTGCTCTGCCCTGGTGAGGCCCCATCTGGAGTACTGTGTCCAGTTCTGGGCTCCCCAGTTCAAGAAGGACAGGGAACTGCTGGAGAGGGTACAGTGGAGAATCACAAAGATGATTAGGGGCCTGGAGCATCTCTCTTACAAGGAGAGGCTGAGGGACTTGGGTATTTGACATCTACTCCTAAAAAACCGTATTTCATTGGGTCAAACCAAGGGAAAGGAGGTGTATTCCAGGGAAAGAGATGACATAACCAGCCATCTTGCGATCTTGATATAGTTTCTTGGGGGTAACTTTTCAGATTTAAATAAATAAAAACATAAAGGTCGCATTCAGACAAAGATCATCTTTCGAGCTGCAATAGGAAAGTCTCTTAGCTACAAAAATATCTTGCCTGATGCTTCTTTCATTGAAAACAGTTATAAGAAGTCACTAAGCTGATGTGCAAAGCCAGACAGCTGGAATTAGAACAGCTTCCACTCTAAATGCAGCCACATGTCTCTGTCACGAGTCAACGGGCACACTTGCAACACCTGGGCAGCCAGGTGTCACACTTACTTCTTGTTTCTGTTAAAGAACAGAAAAAGGAGAGAAAGTAATAAAAAAGCACAAAACACAACCAGAGATGTATGAATAACATGATTAAAAAAAACCAATCTCATAACAAAATAAGCAGAAGCTTCAACCAAATAAGAGAGTTTGTTTCCATCTGGATTTAGGATTTTGTACATACTTTGCAAATAAATAGGAACATGTCATCCTCTCAGGAGAGTTCAGTACTTTTTGAAATCAGAAGTAATTTTTCATGATCCAGTGAAGTTGATAAAACCAGCAATGGCAAATTCTGGATTTTTTTTTTTAATTAGAAAATTGAAATTTAGAAAAAGAGTAATTAAAATTTGAAGACTTTTTTACCTGCAATAACTATTTCTCCCTCCCATGCCTGAATAGAGTCCAACATGCAGATGCTTTTTCTGTTGCATCTATCTGAGGGGAAGGTAGACCTGGGAGCCCAGCTGAGAGACCAAGGCATCCACCCAATCTGCTGGTCAGTGAAGAAAGGGATGCTTTCAAAACTATGATCCACTGTCTGTAATTACTGAAAAGAATATTTCTTGACCATATTGAGATAGTCGGCAATTGACATGGTGCTGGTAATGAGCAACTAGGTCTTTGAAGGATGTGGCAGGTTGAGAGCTTTGCTTTTTTGGTGTAATAGAAATGGCAGTATGATTACAATGGTTTGGCTTGACTACAAAGAAGGCGTTTGCCTTTTGATAGTCAGTGGGGCCTTGGACATGACGGTTGGATGAGCTGGAGTGATGGGGATGCTCTTATACAACACCCCTGAGCTGGTTCATCTTGGATTTTTTGAAGATATGTGAACCATGGCACTGATGATGGTGTTATGAAAGAAGTGTAAATAAACACAACCGTAGCCAATGAAGTCTCCAAATGTATTATGGAGATTTAAGGGAATATGGTATTTACTGATTTGCGTTACAATAGGGTATCCTCTAGGAACAGGAGCTTTGAGAACAAGCTCTCCCTAAAATGGTACCTGCTCTGGCAGATAAAGAAGTACGGCAGTGTTAAAAAATGCCAGCGAATTTTGGCTTCATAAGAGTTACTTTATGATTCTAGTAATAGAGAAGGTCTGTGCTTCTGACTTTCTAGTGAAGCAAACCCACAATTTTTTTAATAAAAAAAATCTGATATCATTCTAGCAAATTAGCTTTTCTAATCTCATTGTAATCTGACAGCTAACAGCACACACATTGGCCACCCTCCCTGCTTTCATTTTTCCTTCATCCTTCTCGTTCACCTCTTTTGGTCTTTTCATCATCCCCACCTTTGTGTTTCCCATTTTAGCTCTAGTTCCCACCCCGCAGCATCATCCAAACTCTGCAAGATACATGGTGAAACTCCTCGTGATTTTGCTGTCACCCGTTTTCCCCTTCTCCCACCCACCCACCTCTTGTTTTGTGTGTCCCATCTTTACCCAGGGACCGCTCTCCAGGGGAAGGGAGCAGCTCTGCCTGGCGGCCAAGCACCTCTGCGGGCACCAGGTGAGTCCCAACCACCTTTGCCAACAGCAGGAACACAGAGATATTAGCTTTCCTTAAGTATTTGCACGTAATGGTCACCGGGGCTGGCTGCCAGGGCGCGGGAGGACCCACGCAGCATCCCTTCTCACAGCTCACCATCCCCGCGTTGGGGGGGGAGCAGGGAGCCAGCCTGGCTGAGGGAGCCAGCCCACTGGAGGAGAGCGATGCTGATACGCGTTGCCATAGTAGCAGCAGCAGAAGATACAGCTGGCCGCCTTCTCAGGGAGAGCAGGAGCTGGAAAATATTCATTAATTTTGTTTCACAGGCTTTAGAAATCTGCAGGAAGGACCCGTTTGAAAAAAGCGTTATGAAACGTCTCTGCTTACACATTCTTCCCTTTGTCCAGCAACCAACTTTAAAATGTCCAGGACAAAGAGTCCATAATGTTACCAAACATGCCCACCATGGATGCTGTACCCCATCTCAGGCAGCCAGTGTGGTTGTCTTGCTGGAGCACTGCCTTCATGGCAGAGAGTAGTGGCAGAGGGCAAGGTAAATTTTCAAGGGTTGGTTCTGAGGACAGCAGAGAAACGAGAGAAGGCATTTTCAGCAGTTTGAGTTTCCGAGGAGATAAGCTGTTACTCTTTGTCCCCTGTCCCTTCAGGACGTATGTTGGTACCCTGGTTTATAATACATCACAGCAGTGAAACCCAGCAGCCAGGATCTGATTAGATAGCCTTGAGTGTTAGCAGCCACCAGTGGAAGCACATTTTCCACACAGCCCCTGCCTGACACCCTTCAAAACAGCCGAGTCCAAAAGGACCCTGGAGTTTGAAATGCCTTCGCAGACAGCGAGCAGGTGTCAGCAGCAGATGGGGGCTTGACTGGAGGAATCCAACTCTCACAGCACGTCCCTTTTACCAGCAACATTCCTCTCCCCCCAGTAGGATTAGCCTCAGCAAAACAGGCAGGGAGGGAGGTAGGAGATGGTGAAGCAAGAAAGCAGCCTGTTGTGTCTGCATCACCAGCTTTTCAGCCCAAAGCCAGTGGTCAAGACTTTGCAGGTCCAGGTGAATTGTGACCATGTGGAACATCATGGCAGGCTTGCAAAGTAAATGGGGCACAACTGGGGGGAAAATAAATTAAAAAAAAGCCATCTAAACTGATATAGGGTGGAGAAAATGGAGTTATTGTGAAAACAAAGCACAAGGATGATTATGCTTTCATTATTTGCATGTTTATAATCATTATCATTCTAAATGAACTGCAACTACAAATACAAACCCACGATTTTGCAGGGACTTAGAGGACATTGCACTGTTGAATGGTTAATAGCCTGCCATCTTTATAATGAATGGTTCAGTTTCACCTTAAAATTGAGAAATTGGTCTTCAGGCTTGTTAGAAAATCATAGGGGTGCTGAATGGCAAGAAAGAGAGCGGGGCTTCTTTCCCAAACACTGTGCTCCAACTTAGTGCACTCTATCCAGTTTGAGCTCATTTTCTTACTAAATACTGAATAAATGGGTGAGCTTTTTAAAGCTTTTTTTTTTTTTTTGTATTTTACCACAGTGGAAACGCCTGCAGTTATGGAGATGCAGCTGGTTACAAGAGCCATAGCCCCCAAAAAAGAACAGTGAGTTTTGGATACATTAGACTTACAACAAAATTTCTATCTGGGTGTTTAATTACAACTATGATAGTTGTATATATATATAATAATATGTATATAATGTATATAATAATATGTTCTGAGGAACTACAGTTAATCTGTCCTCTTCTTCCAAATAATGTTTGTCTGCATAATCTCACTAAATGCTTACTTCCCCCACTCCTATTTCACCTGGTAGCTAAACATTTTTCTTTTCTTCACGCCATCCCAAATAATTTTATCAGTGCTGAGAGTGGAAATCGTGGCTGACAGCCCAGGTTTTGAATCTTAGGGAAGTTAGTGGGGCACAACCGTCCTTGCCTGAGGCCCCCGGTAACAGACCCTCACGCTGCTGAGCCAGTGTCTTTTCAAGGCACTCAGAGTTTATTGACATGATTAAATGTTTGAATACTAGGAAATGATTAAGAAAAACCAGAGCGCAGCCCATGCTCACCAAAAAGGGCAGACGCAGGGCTAGTCTGTGGCACTTCTCTCCCCTAAGCGTGGTGGCATGGGATGGCTTGGCACCATTGGGGCTGTTGGAAGTCAGCCAGCAGAGCACCATCAGCCAACTCACCTGGACCAAAGTGAGGATAAAACCAGGAGAGACTGGGTGACTGTCTTATTTTCACAGAGCACTCGGGTGCAGTAATGAGTGCTCTGGAGTGGATGTACTGGCAGCTGATGAGAAATCTGCTGTCGCCCCGACGGCAGAGCCAACTATCTGCAGCCTCATTGAGAAGGTTACAACTGTGACATGAGTGCTGTAGAACATATATGTGGAAGATACGTATAGCATTAAATATTTACTGAGTTTGAAAAGAAATTCATGTACTCTTTGGGATTTAAACACTTAGTTAGCCATGCTCGTTTCTTTCATCCACCCCTACTTTCTGAAAAAAAGGACAAGTATTCCTCTGAAGAAATTCATCTTATTAAAAAATCGTGTTATACAATTCCAAGAAAGTTCTTAATACCTTTAACAGAACTGACAAGATAATTGTGATCGGTTTTTTTTATTGTTCAAAATAAATTCTGATGCACTGAGAGCAAGGATTTACACTGTTCTCCATCTGTCATTTATCTGAAGACTCAACAAGAGAGATTTCTGTACCCTTGGCCTGAATTCAGCAGATTCTATCCTTGGGAGCAAGAGTTAGCGAAGAAATATTCCTATGAAATGGTAAGTTCAAGTATTTAATCATCAAGCTAGTTAGCTCTTTGTCTGTGTGATCCTTTTCTACCCTCTTTCTGGTCACCTTCTCCAGGTTGGACTGCTTGCCAATGAGTACTACGGCTATTGTCAAGATATTTTACATATGGTGAGAAAGAAAGAGCTTAACAAGGTATGTCTTTGCTTTAATAACACTCATTCTGATGACAGCAAACAACTCCAAGAATAAAATTGTTTCTGTGTAGCTTATTTACTTGACAGTTTGATCTAAGGTAGATGATCATTTACAGACAAAAGGAGCGTTCAGTCAAATTATTTGTGAATTCTTAATTAACACAACATGCTCTGAGAATCTGAGTTTTTAGGCATATTCTGAGCACTCCTGGCACATCAACAGGTCTGAGCCCAGCACAAAACACAAGGCCATGGACAAAAATTTTTCATTATATCCCCATATCCATGGCATAATTCTTTCTCTCTTCTTTCTTATGCTGCTTTGAGAGTTTCACCTTGTTGGCCCAGGATGCTCCCACTTACACTGGAGCCTGGCCAGGATGGGGCCAGGCAAAGAGCCCAGCTCCATGGTCATTCTTTTGCTTCTGTGCTTCTGTGTGTTGTTTTACTGAATTACACTTCACATTTCACAAGCGTGAAACCAGTGAAAATTCATAAAGGACTTTGTGTGACAGGTGGAAGCCTGTATCATGTCATTCTGGAGGTCTCTGCAGCCTGAAAGAATAGCACTGATGTCCATGCCAGATGTGTGCCAGATGTTCAAAAGCTATGATAGGCAGCTATTCAAGGTACTGTAGACACACTTGTTTGTTGTCATTATGTTATTACGTGTTTGTGTCTTTTTGGTACTTCTACCTGAGGAGAAGGGCCAGCTGTTTCTTATGTGGGATTTTCGTTTGTGCCTCGAGTCTGTTCTTTGGCTTCTTTGGGATTTTTCAAGGAGCCAGTGGAATTTGAGATAACTTCCATTTTGTTCCTATATATTCTTTTGAAAGTTCCCTAATATCCATGGAATATGCTGTTATAAATGTGGTCTGTGGTTCTGGCATAAGGTTATGTGACTGAAATTCTGACTGACAACTGTTTTCCAAATTATGAGAGCTATTTTTCCTTTAAGAACGCTACTGCATTTCTCAGTGACTTTCCACATAGAAATATGCAGTTTTCTGATCAAAATAATTTGCTTCTTATTCACAGCAGTTCATTAAGTAGTGTTTACTAATTAATTCAGGGTACAATGTTTATTGTTAGAATCCTTTTCCTTCTGCTAATTAATGTAGCTTAACTATTGCTTAATTGGAAGAAAAAGAATGGGCTTTTTACATTTACATTTAAGCTATTAATACAATTTTGTTTCATGCTGTTGTAAATATCTGTAGTACACCAATTGTGGAGCTCCATGAATTTGTATTCTAGGTAATGGAGAACATCCTGTTTCATGATTTCCTAGAGGAGGTACCTGTGGAACACATGCAGTCAATCAGATTGTTCAGTAAAAATGTTGAACTTTGGCTGCTTAATGCTTTGAAAGGGTTTCCATTACCGCTCCAAGCATCCAAATCTAAAGGTATGTTTGAGTAATAGAGAGATTTTCATAAAAGAGTATTTGCTTAAACTGCAGAGAAGATTGTGTTACAAGACTCTTAAAGAAATTTTTTTTTATTTTAGCTGATGTAACTTTGACAATAGTGAAGACTAGAGCTAGTTGGGATACAGTTAAAAGTAAACAGGCTCAGATAATGTTTGAGAACAAACTTAAGCCAAATTTGTTCCTAATTCATGGTAAATTAAAGTGTACTTGAATCTTTTTAAAGATCTGTCTCTTGCCGTGATCGCTTTAGCTGTGTAGATAGCTGAATAATGTGCAGTCTGCCCTCTGAAATTTAGGTATTGTTCTGCCTCTTCACCTGGCAAGTAGCTTTATGCAGATAAATTAATTAATGGCTACAGTGCACATCAATATAAAGGGGAAAAAAGCCATAGTCCCATAAGGAAACTATGACTGTCATTAGAGGAGGATTTGAAAAAATCTGTACTATACAAAGGTGTGGGTATATATGGGTGTTTGTAAATAAGTACACGTGTACATATAGTTACATATGACGCTGAATATTCTGGGTAAAACATAATGTTGCTCAGTTGTTCACTGAGGGAAGACCAGCTCCTCAGTGGCAAAGCAGGACTCCTGAGTAGACAAAAGATTGCATTAGCATTCATATGCTCAAGGAAGACTTGCAGACAGTCTTAATTCCGACATTATCATAGAATCATAGAATGGTTTGGGTTGGAAGGGACCTTGAAGACCATCTAGTCCAACCCCCTGACATGGGCAGGGACACCTCCCACCAGGTTGTTCAAAGCCCCATCCAGCCTAGGCTTGAACAATTCCAGGGATTCCACATCCACAACTTCTCTGGGCAACCTGTTCCAGTGCCTCACCACCCTCACAGGAAAGAATTTCTTCCCAACGTCTAATCTAAGTCTCCGCTCTTTCAGTTTAAAACCGTCACCTCTCATCCTATAACTACATTCCCTGATAAAGAGTCCCTCCCCATCTCTCCTGTAGGCCCCCTTTAGGTACTGGAAGGCTGCTATAAGGTCTCCCTGGAGCCTTCTCTTCTACAGGCTGAACAACCCCAACTCTCTCAGCCTGTCCTCATAGGAGAGGTGCTCCAGCCCTCTGACCATCTTCGTGGCCCTCCCCTGGAGTTGTTCCAACAGGTCCATGTCCTTTTTATGTTGGGGGCCCCCGGAGCTGGATGCAGTACTGTAGGTGGGTTTTCACCAGAGTGGAGCAGAGGGGCACCTCCCTCGACCTGCTGGCCATGCTTCTTTTGATGTAGCTCAGGATATGGTTGGCTTTCTGGGCTGCAAGTGCACATTGCTGGGTCATGTTGAGCTTCTCATCAACCAACACCCCCAAATCCTTCTCCTTAGGGCTGCTCCCAATCCATCCTCCACCCAGTCTGTATTTGTGCTTGGGATTGCCCTGGCCCATGTACAGGATCTTGCACTTGGCCTGGTTGAACTTCATGAGGTTTGCATGGGCCCACCTCTCAAGCCTGTCCAGGTCCCTCTAGATGGCATCCCTTCTCTCCAGTTTGTCAACCGTACCAGATAGCTTGGTGTCCTCCGCAAATGTGCTGAGTGTGCACTCAATCCCACTATCCAGGAACATCCTGGATTGCTTAGGCCCTGCTTTGTTGTCCCTCCAACAGATATCGGGGTGGTTGAAGTCCCCCATGAGGGCCAGCATTTGTGAAAATGAGGCTGCTCCTTTCTGTCTATGCTCATTTTGCTTGGTCTTCCTGGTCAGGTGGCCTGTAGCAGACCCTCACTGTAACATCACCTGTCCCTGCCCTCCCTCTAATCCTGACCCATAAGCTCTCAGTCGTCTCTCATCCATCCCCAGACAGAACTCCCATGCACTCCAGCTGGTCATTGACACGCAGGGCGATACTCCCTCCTTGTCTCCCCTGCCTCTTCTTCCTGAAGAGCCCGTCTCCTTCCGTTCCAACACACCAGTCATAGCAGCCATCCCACCATGTCTCCATGATGCCAATAAGATCAGAGTCCAGCAGGTGTGTGCATTTCTCTAAGTCCTTTGTTTTATTCCCCATGCTACATGCATATGCGCAGAGGCATTTAAGTTTCCTGTATTTGAATGCTTGATAGAGCAAATTTAGGAATGTGTTTTCAACATGTGTGTGAATGGAAGTATATGTAATTATTCAGCTGTGATCCTTTGTATACACACCCTGGTCTTTCTGATTTATAAGAACTTCAGGGAAACAGAAATTTTCACTTGAAAATCATTGCCTGTATACAGAACTTTCTAAATTGCTTTATACTTATGCAACTAAGAATCAGTTATTTTATATTTTATTCTTAAAAATTATATTACTGGACCATGCTTGTCATAATTGCAACATAATATAAACAGGAGAAAATAGAACCAAATAAACCAAATCCTATTAATAGTCCTGCAGAATTATAGATGCATGGAGGTGGAAACATAATCCCTCTAAACAAAACACAGGAGGTTTAGAATTAATGTTGCTTTCATTCATCTTAAACCATACATGTAAGAGTATTAGACTTGTTTGAGAAATATTTAATGTAAAAAAAAAATGTTGGAAGTATCTTTCCTGTGTGTCTTGGGTTAAGAGCTTTGCAGTGAAGGAAGAGTGGTGGCCTGGGCAGCTTCTGCTTGCCAGCCTTAAACCGCAAGGGTCCCCAGCCCAGCCTGTAGTGCTGGCTCAGTGCCCCCGCCGTGCCCTTCATTAGCCTGTTTCTCCCCTAGGGATCTACTTTCTAACATAAAAGACCTTCCTTCATTAACATCTTTAGACTGTAAAATATTAATGATATGAAACATATGCCTCTTCTTCTTTAACAGAAGTTACAGTGTTTATAAAAAGACTCAGGAGAAAGACAGACCTTTCTAACATGGCCAAGGTATGTTCCAGAATCCATGAAACAAAAAAGGTGGGCATCTCATTTACTCAAGCAGTTTGGACTACTAATGAGCTGCTCCATTGTAGGATAACAGCAGCAGCACAGATGATATTATTTGTATACTGACCGTGGTCCAAATAACTCTCACCCTCCTACCCATCTCTTCCCACACCATAAGTATGCTGAGGGGGTCTTTTCCTCCCTCTGGATTCTGTGAAAGCCTCTGAGATATGGTCAATGGCCCCCACAGAGAGAACACAGGAGCTGGAAGGCTCAGATGACAGTTTCCAGTATCTTCACCCAGCCATGCAAAAGCCAGTTCAATAGCACATGCTGGAGTTATTCTAAAATTGGTTTTGCATAGCATCCTGACCACTCTCTCTGAGGAATGGTACAGCAGCCTGCACAAGGGAAACCACTAATATGCCATCTGCAGAGAAGCTCCATGGTCAGGGAGCAGGGTGTGAGGTCTATAAGGGCACAAAACCCTCACCTTTCTTATGGATTCCAGGGATCAGCTGACAAAATCTTCTCCATCCTCTGACCAGATGGTGTTGGAAGGAGTACTGCAGGGAAGCATCCTCTGAACTTTCCTGCGCAGGGTCATCACTCAGACTGGCTTTTCTCCTTGGGAAGAAAGAGGCAAAAGTGTCTCTAAACGATTAACATCCGTGCCTGCTTTTTGCTCTACGGTATCATTCTTCTCAGCTACAGGGACAAAGGAGATGCATCCAGGAGCTGCATTTTTAACCCTCTGAACACTGCAAAGTAAATTGTTTCATTAGCCTGTACTTATTCATTGCTGTGTTATTACGAGGAGCTTTACTCTCCCTGCAGCCTTCCTTCCATTGGTGTTCTTCCAAAACCTTGGCTTTTGAGGCAGTCCAGGCCACAATAGGACAGACAGGTCACAAATGGGGAAGGAAGCAGAAGACAAAAGGTGGTATATTGTCTCCTACAAGATTTTCCCAACATGCCACCTGGCTCAAATCACTGCAATGTGTCCCCACAATAAAGAGAAGGAAGGGAACTGTGGCTTCATGAACTGCATGGCAGTGTCACATTCTTTCTTAATAAACGTGGCCTCTCTTTATGGGAAAACTCAGCAGCAGCAACTCACAAAAGACACACCTCACTTTAAAAATGTTTTAAAAATTATAATGATGCACAAACATGCATAGGTGTGTTAACACAGGCAAAAGGTTGACTTCTGGGAGGTGCCAAACACCCGCAGTTCCCATTTACTGCAGCAGCCCTTGTAGATACTAAATACTTGAAAAGCTCAGCTTCATGTGCTTCTAAACATTGCTTCTTATGCATCGAAGGACATGATCCAGCAAGACTGCAAGCGCCAGCTATTCCCAGGAATTTGCTTTTTATTTGTGTACTCAGACTTTACATCATCCTTCTTGTGCTCTATCCACCATGTCAAGGGGCTGGCTGCAGCTTTTTGCTTCTTCTCTGCCTGTTCCTAACATGCGGAAAAGCTGCAGAGAATCAACACTGAATTTGCACCCTCAAGATTTAGGGCAAGAGAGGCGAATCAGGGGCAAATTCTCTAGCGGCAGCCTCTGGCTGCTCCACATCCCCTTTACACCATTTAACCACCACAAAGTGAACCTCGTAGACCCGAGAATGGGGTTCATGGTTACAGCTGAGCACATTCTGAGCCTGGTTCTTGTTCAAGCTAACAAGCTCTTGGCACTGTTCTCACAAGCAAATGATGTTTGCACCTTCTCTAGAGCCTCCTTAAAATACAAGGGAAAGGCAAAGGAGTTCCAGTGCATCTGACGATTAGTCCCATCGGCAATTTAAAAACAATAGTTTCAATAAGTGAAATTATATAAGTTTTGTAAATGAGCATCCCTGTAATCTCTCAGCGGTCACATAGACTCTATTACAACTTCTTTTAGAGATCTTGCCAAAGTCACAGATATGGGGCTCCAGCAAAACACGGTAGGAAACAAACGCCAGCTGAAAATTCCCCTGCAAACGCATCCCCCTGTCCAACACACACCAGAAAATGGTTAGCTGAACACCACAGGTGTTTGTTCAAAATTTTCAGCTTGTGAGAAACATGCAGCTGCTTCATGGTGGTGTGGACATCCCTCAGAAAGGATGGCTGAGTGTTTTAGTCAGACCCGATCCTAGGCTTGTGTGGACTGGTATCCCATTTCCGCTGGTGCCCCTCATCAGATGCTCATAGGAAGTGTGTATGAGTAGAGCAAGTGATACCTCACTCCTCCATTGTACTCTCCTGGATTCCAGCAACCCAAGATGAAGGTCATACCCACATTTTGGTATTTAGTAGCCTGATTTTTGTATCCACAACCTCTTGAGGTTCCAGGGTTTGATTATTTGGTGTGTGAAAAAATAAGTTATCATTTTAAAATTTCTACCCTTCTTCCTGCGGTTCTCCCTGCAAATCCCCTTCACATCCTTCCTCACTCATTTCTATCCGAAGCTGAAGTTTATCTCATCTTCTCACATAGGAGTAATTTGATATTTCTAATCATCCTTCTCAGTTTTCTCTGTCTAAAATGCACCTGGAATTTCAACTAGAAACTGATGGCCAAAGCAGGTGAGAGAGCTCTTAATGAGAAGCACTGCGGAGGAGCTGTGCAGCTGCAGCCTCTGAACGGTGTAACCATACCGACCCTTGTAGAATGCTTTGCAATAATTTAACCACCTGGTGAGAAAATAGGAACGATTTTGGCACGGTCAGCATTTAAAAGGAAAAAAAAAAAAAAGCAACTTTTCCATCATGTGTAGATAAAGCTGGCTGACAGCTGCTACTACCTGGACATGCAGAAGTAATTAGAGCATAAAAAGGTGCAAATTCCCCGCGAGAAAGGAATGTGAATATGCTGCTTGTCATTTCTTGGGGCTGATTCCTGCCTCTGGTAAGCTGTTATTTAAGTGCTGTCGGAGTTGACTCTCAGTCATTTAGAGCATTAGTTTTAGTACGGTGAAGGGCAATATCGAAAGGGACTAGTCTGAACCACTGGGGCATGGAGCTGGGTGTTGGCGGCGTACTGACCCTGCGCACACCTGGGGTTGTTGTTGCAAGCAGCAGCTCTTCTTCTGACGCTGGAAGCTCCAAGACTTTGTCTTTAACTTAGCTGAAGGGAATTAGCAAGCGAGAATCAGAGAGCTTTTGGTACTTCAGTAAAGCTAGCAGAATGGCGACAAAGAAATATGGCCAGATTGGGGAATGATGCTGCAAACAAATGGGCAGCTGCATTTGCTGCTGTTTGTGGGGTCGTAGTAAGCACCTGCTGAATGGGATTTGTTAAAGTGTTTATGAATCTTGAAGGTTTTTTTATAAAAAATATTTTTTCATCTGGAAGGCCAAAATGGACATGGATTATTAATATAAATGCCCAAAATTCAACAAAGGCTTTAGGATCCTACTGTTTTCAGTATAGAAGTGAGAGACTAAATGTATGGATTAGCAAATTTTAATGGATTCAGGTTTAATTTCCTTCACTGTTTTCATCATTACATCAAGAATCTGAAGCAATACTGTTTGATATTAGCAATCAAATTAAAAAAAAAAAAAAGTTAAGAGATGAGGATAAAATGTTAGGGTGAACATTGTTTGCAATATCTCTGTGAGCAATACTTTATGGGACAGATACGAAGCCATATTCATTCACAAATGATTCATAAGCAGATTAATGGGATAAAATCCCAACCAATATTGTTTAAATTAACACCACATTTCTTATGTTATTTTTTACCTTCTCAGAGGTTTGGGCTACTTGAGAAAACTTGCCTTCAAATGTAATTGAAACATGTACAACGGACAGGTAACACCGAGGGAATGTCAGCCCTGATACACCATTCCACGTTTTAGACAAAATACTGTTATTTGGCATAACTGTAACAACTCTAGGCAAAACCAATTGCCCAGATACTTCAGGCATGTTAGCCTTGTCCGCTCCATCACAGACAGCAACACAGAGTGTCATTGAAAGGAATATCTCCCAGAACAAAAAACTTTTGAAGACAACTTAAAATTCATCTCCTTTGATTTATTTCTCCCCCCCCCCCGGCCCCATCCTAATTTGGAGACTGGTTATATAAAGTCTGGTACTGAATAAGGGAAGCTTTTTGACTGAGTTAAGGGCTTGAGAAAATGAAAGGCATTAACTGTTTTCTTATTCTCTATAGACAATGAGAACAGTCTTGAACAGCAACAGCAAAGTCACTGTTCTGCGATCAGACTTGCACGCTGTCATCAACCAGGGATTCCTGGATGTGCCTGGAAACCTCTTTCAAATGAAGTTTAGGAATCCGGAGGAGCTGCAGAACGACATAGAACTCAAATGTAATATTTTTTTTCCTGTGTTTTGTCTATCCACTTAAGCCCTTGCTTGCCATTGTTAAAGCTCCTGCATTTCCTCTTGTTTATTCATGGTATCTGCCGTAATGGAAATTACAGTCTTGCCATAACCCGAAGTACTGGAAAAGAGCCAATAAAATTGAGAATGGAGCATGTAATATTATCCTTTTAACTTTAAAGGTTAAGAATGAAAGGCTTTCCATTCTGACTCTCTCTTACAGCTTTCTACGGCAGCGGGAGTAGGGTTTGTGTTACTAAATGCTGTATCTTCTAGAATAAGGTTGACAAACAGGGATATTAATTTTTTACCTTTTTCTTTGACAAAAAAAAAAGAGAAGTTTCCAAGAGTTGCATTTCACATTTTCCTCTGTTATTAGTCAAAGTACAGCAAATAATTTCTTGTGGCCAGATTTTAAAATGCTGTGTGCTGAACTGGACAAGGACTATTGGCCTTTCGGCCTACGTGGCCTTTCGCTGCATTGAGGCCTGTGGAATCGATGTGCTGCTGTAAACAATAAAATGTGCCGTTTGTATGCAGCCATGACATAATACATTTGCCAGCCTAATGAAAAGAGATGGAAGCATAATGGCAAGTTAATTTTTAGATTAATGGGCTGCTATTTAAATTATTAGCAAGAGACAAGCAAGTTGGATGAGGCTGTGCACAGAACTGATGGGGGGAAACCTCAGCTCTTTGTTCCTGGCTGGCCACCGACTCGCTCGATGACAAGAGATGTGCCACAGCCTTTCTGTGATGGCTTTCAGTGGTAATAATAATTTGCCTTTTTCACAGAACCATCAGGAGAACCATTTAAATAACATTTACATATGGCTTAAAATCAACACTGTGCAGAATGCTTTTATTACATTTGCTCATTATATTAATGATAGTCTTATTCTTCCCAAGATGTATTCTCTCATTGTATTCTCTGTTTTCATTGCTTTTCCAAATTGCTGCTTATAATAAGCAAGGTTTTAACATACCCTATCTATATGCCATCTTGAAAGGAGATGACTCAATTAGAAGGGTATAAATTCAGAGAGGTGCCATAACAATGTAACTTTTGGCACTGGGCAGTAGGTTCCAATTTTTTGGGCAAACAACTGTACTGATATGTGGCAATATTATATATATATTTCTGTTGGTCTGTATTTTCTGATATTGGCTTAAAACTGTTTTCTCCCCCCTCCCAAACCATTTTTTTTTTCCTCAACCACATAAAATCGTCTCAGATAAGTAAGTTGATATTGCATATAACCGAATTCCAGCTTTCACATTGGAAGTGTTTCTTCTTGCCACCTTTGCCATGATGACCAGGTCAGTACAGATATGGTGGAAATGGACATAAACATGAATTCTGACTAATTTCAAAGTAGGAAACTATTGCCCACTAAAGGAATAGTATAATTGTATTAATCAAAATGCTATAAACACGTGTCTATATTTTAAGCTAAAGATAAAAGGAATAAGCTCTAAAAACTGTATCAAACAAAAAGCAAGCCAATCACTTCAAGTAATGATCTCCCTTCTATATTTCATAGGTTTGAATGACTTAATGTCTTTGCTGACACCTTCCACAGATATTCGGGTTCTCCTGAACTGTGTGTCTTCAAATCTTCAGGCTTTTGTCATTGAGGTATAAAATCAATTTAATAATTTCAGAAATGAAAGATGGATCACATCATTTATCCTGCTACATGCTGACTGTCACTAGTCTGCAAGAGCTCCATTGTACACTAGCAACCTGACCAGACTGCAGATTTGCATAAATACAATTTATGCATGCTGCAGAAAAAAAGGGGGAATTAATTGGCATACAAAAATTCCATCTGTGCAAACAACTACAAGCATGTTTCTGTGCATATATCCACTCAGGCAGTTTCAGTATCTGCTCTCATTTCATAGACACATACTATAACAGTCCCTAATAAACCAAAATTCAGTACAAAAATGTTAGTAAAATAAAGAGAACACTTCATGATTCCTGAAATCATTGATTCATTAAACTGTTGACTTTTAGGAGGTGGTAGGAGAGTGATAATTTCTACTAGTGTCTCTAGCTCTTGTGAAAAATTCATGTATGATCATCCTCACGTACGTACCTTCCCATAGGTTGCCAACTCTACCACCCCAGTTCCGCCACTGATTCAGAATTAGCAGTAGCTTGATGGCACCACTGCATTTGGTTGGTTGCCAGACCAATTAATTTGGGTCTGGGAAATGGTTGAAGTCTTTTTTCCCCTTTTCTGAAGAAACAGGGTAAAATGTACTTATTTAGCTTGATTATTTCTTTAAAAAAAAAAAAAAAATTAAGATTAGTACTTTGCAGTTCTGTGGTGCCTTCATCTCACAGAACACCCAGTTACCTTATGGGAAGGTACAGGGAAGGTGGACCAGGACTTTTCCTGGGGATTGACAGTTGTGGGGCATAGGACAATAGACACAAGTTGCAGCAAAGAAAATTTCCAATAGATAAAAAGAAAAAAAATACCATGAAAGTTGTTAAGCATGGAAAAATGTTACCCAGAAAGGCTGTGGAATCTACATTCTGGAGCTATTCGGAACTTGGCTGGACAAGGCCTGAACTAAACTGGCCATGCTTTGAGTAAGAGGTTGGATTAGATGATGTCTAAAAATCCCTTTCAACCTGAGTTATTTCAGGATTCTAAGAAAAAAAACCTGCTTGTTCATCCTTTGCATGCAGTTTGTATAGGGAAATACAAGAAACTGCAACACAATGAGGAAATCTTTTAACCAACTTTATCATAAGGCAATTTTTTTCTCTATCTGCAGCCAAGCAGGAGTAAAGAGGAGTTGAGAAAAGTGGCATCAGATTTCCAGTTGAGATGGAGCTTCCTACTGACTGCAATAAGCAAGGCTTTGACCCTCAACTATGCAGACAGTTTTGGTGAGTAGGAACTCGGAGACTCTCAACTCACGTGTCCCTGTGTGTCCTGAGACGGCAGAGGCACCAGCTTATTTTAATTTTAATTGACATAAATTTATGCTACAGTCACCAAAGGCATCACTTCTTCTTACTCCCTTCCTTGCATCAAGCAGCTCCATTCACCTGGAGATGTGGCTAGCCAGGTCAAGGAAATGAAACGATTAGTTTTCAACCATATTTGTTTTCTGATTCAAACTCTAGGGTGTTCGGAAGGGAGGAAAGTAGGAGCGTGCAGCTGGAGATGGTGGGAAGGGCAGGACTCCCTCTTTCGGCAGAAGCCATCATTTGTCTGTGGAAAGATGGGGAACAGCAGCCTGAGGCATCAGCCTCTGCTTTCCTTCCCTCCAGGACCTGCACACCCCAGCAGAAGGGTCTGCTGGAGAGCTGGAGTCACTAATATTCCAAACCATAAAAACTCCAGATCTCTCTAGTGATAGCTCCTAGTCCTTCAAGTTCTTTCTGTATAATGCAGCCAGATCAGAGCCACTGTGATAACTACTTGTCAAAAAAGCAGTTCCTCTGACAACAGCTGTATGCTCCTTCTCCTTATGCCTTACACTGACATAAGTGCTTGCCTAGCCAGCAGCAAGCCTGTTTTAGGTGTCAGACTAACCGAAAACCAGTCATTCCTTTAGCTGGGTTAGTTTTCTCTGTTTTAGGGGTCTGAGCTATCAAGCTAGTGCAAGGCAAGAGAAGCGAAGGGTCTGTGCAGTCACAGTCACTCAAAGTGAAGTGGCTTGAAGTCATACAACCATGTCTTGAATCAGTTCACTCCCTTTCCATTGCTATATTTCATCAACCCAACCTACCTTTCTCTTCATTTGTAAAACCTTCCAGAGGCTTGCTCTCTATTATTCCTTCTGCAGAAATGCACAGTCTCCTGTGAGCAGCATCTGATCCCAAACGGCATGAACCGTTTTTCAGATTTTCAAAGGAGCACCTTCATATTTTTTCCTCTTCTGTCGGGTGAGGCTTCACACAAATAGCCAAAGAAAACCTCATTATCTTCTTTCAAATTCCCCTTCAAAACTGTACTTTCATGTGTCTCCTACAAAGACTTAACAGAGGAGTGTGTTAAGGTTGTTGCCTTTTGTATTCTTCTGTATTCTTCCCCTGCTAATGTCGGTGTTTGTGCACGTATGTGTGCCCCCTTTTTCTGCATCTAGCTGCTACCTTTTGCCTTATATTTAGATTGCAAACTCTCTGGAGCAGGATCAGAGTTTTGTTCTGTGTCTGCAGGGAGCACAGCACAGTAGGGTCCCTTGTCCATCAGCTGTTGCATTACAGTAATAAAAAAATATTAATTCCTTTCTCTCTCTCCAGAGGAGTTCCGCACAAAACTTTCCAATGTTAGATGCAATATTTTGAGCAATAAGAAAATTAGGAATGAATTCCAAGAACAGGACTGGAAGCATAATGTTTATTGAAATTCCCCATGATGATGAAATCCTCTTCCCTCTTTCTACCACAAGAAGAGCTTAATGAATTGCCTCCCTGTTCTGCAGTTGGTGGTGGTTGGGGACACAACTGATGGAGAGCATCCCTTCCTCTGCTGAGCCTTCCTTAAATGAGTTACAAATTGTGGTTTTATCCCACTTATGACAGTTTTCCCAATATACTTTTGTAGCCCTAAGACCGAATTTATTCTCACGTATGAGAGACTTAAAAAATATCCTTTAACCTTTCCCTGTGATGCTCCAATGAATTTGATAATTATCTTCTTTCTTAATTTTTTTAAGATGTTGACTATATGATCTAACAGTGTCCCTTCTTTCCCATGTTTCTATTCCAGTAGGATTTCAAGTTTTAGTGGAGAAGGCTGGAACTGATATATTAACAAGCCGTCTGGTGTAAAAGTTCTGTACTCAGGGTCATTGCTTTTCAGAAATTTCTTAAATCTCAACATTTCTTGCAGGAGTGTTGGGCAGCTTGCAAGTGGAAATATGTAGCATCCACACTAAGGAAACACAATAACTTAGGGAAACGTGTGAATGTCATGTTAATGCAGTATGCCTCCCTCCAAAATCACAGAATCACAGAATCTTCTAGGTTGGAAGGGACCTGAAAGATCATCTTGTCCAACCGTCAACCTAACTGACAAAAACAGACACCCGCACAACAAACAAGAAGCATCACCATCACTAAACCATACCTCCCAGCACTACATCAACCTGTCTTTTGAACACCTCCAGGGATGGTGCCTCAACCACCTCCCTGGGCAGCCCATTCCAATGTCTGATAACCCTTTAGGTGAAAAAATTTTTCCTAATATCCAGCCTGAACCTCCCCTGGCGTAACTTGAGGCCATTTCCTCTCGTCCTGTCGCCTGTGACTTGGGAGAAGAGACCGACCCCCACCTCTCTACACCCTCCTTTCAGAGAGTTGTAGAGAGCAATAAGGTCTCCCCTCAGCCTCCTCTTCTCCAGGCTGAACAACCCCAGCTCCCTCAGACTCTCCTCATAAGACTTAAAATAAGCCACATACCAGTAACTAAACCCAAACTTACTTCTGTCCAGGGCTCTTGCCTTGGAGGTTGGTACATCTGTCACATATAATATGCTGGCATACACACACCTCTGAGTTTAAGATTGACTTTTACTCTTTTCTAGCCCAGCCTCCACATGGGTGATGGCCAAGTGTGATGGGAGGAACTGTGCAGTTGTTCCCCTGTAAGGCAGCAAGGAACAAGTGTGCTACAGCAATCAGGGATAACGGGACCTCTACAGCTCTTTCAGCTCCACCTCTTCTCCAGCACATGTGCCTCTACATATCTCCATCCTAGAGTCTCACGTCAGCTGGCCCACCTCCATTTCCTTTGCTGGTCTCCCTTTGGAGGCATTCAGGGATGTATTGCTGAGCAACACAGGGTGGAGAGTGACCTGTGCATTCCTCTTTGGAAAGCAAGCTGCTTCAACCTACCACCTCTTCAAATCTGTGTCCCTCTGCATTATCCCAAGAGACAACTGGAGTGGTAGCTTTTGCTTCATGCTTACTCTTACTGAATGTGTTGAAAACATCTGTAAGATTGTTAGAAACGCTTGTGGACTTCGAACGTTAGGTCTATATAGTTTGAACTCAAAGTATAAAAGTCTTTTTCCTTGTCCCATAGATAAGCAAGTGCTTCCACTATATATTCCACTATAATTTAAAGATGCACAAAAGGACAAACAGGAGAAGCAGCAGCTTCTCAGACACATATAACATCAAAAGAGGCAGTATTTTTCATTTTTAAAGCTCTGTAAAGCTTGGTCGTTCATATAAATTGGCAGTGTCTCTTTGTTGATGTCCATGTAAACATTTTTGTGGGATGCAGAGGTTATGAATTACCTGATGAATTGCTATGAATATTTATGGTATGGAAGAAGACCTGCTCTTTACTCTAAGGGCTTTCAACCAAGTTGTGATTCAAAAGTCAATGGCCTCAGTGCGTCTCTCTTGGCTTCAGGCAGTTATGTCCCAAGCTGCCCAGAAAGCCTTTTAATGTCATAGGTATGAGACATGCAGACGTCATGCATGTCAAACTGCAGGAGAGTTTGCTTGGGAAGAGGTGGAATAGGGATGAAATGTGGTTGTTGATAAGCCTTTTAGTAGCAGTGAATGTGGGGGAAGAACTTGGACAGGACTGCGACTAAACACAAGTACGCTTTCCTCTCTAGCTAAAATAAGGGGAAAAGGCTTCTGCTTATGTTTAAAATCTGCAGTTGGTGCCTCTTTCGCTGTGATATTTGGAAGTACATAATTCTGTAAGTACTGATTGATGAGTGCTAGTCTGCTACTTTAGTCCATTACCATAATGAAGCCCTTCAAAAAAGAACACATCATGAAGATAAGCAAATGAAGAGGATGTTAAAATTATTTTTGTTTTTCTTTCAACCTAGGATCCTGGCATTTGTTTAATTTGCTACTCATGGATTTTGTGGCTCACATTTTCCTGTCCTATATAGAGGAGGAGGGAGATGAAAGTTTCCTGGTCACAAAGCAAAACGAGCCCCGTGTTGTGTGGGTTTATGAGCCCAGTCATCTCTGGGGCTATTTTGCAGAGGAGCAACCTCAAGTCAACGCTCCACAGACAGCTCTCATAACTTTGATGCAGAGCCAGAATAACTTTGGATTAAGCAACGTTTTTGCAGAGTTCTGAGTTTTTCGGTGGACACAGCCACAGGCAGCAAGGTGAAATAAACATTAACTTCAAAGAAAATTACTAAAAAAAAAAAAAAAGGGTATAAATTGGGTAAAATGGGGGGGATTGGGAGGAGTGTGGTTGTTTGGGGGTTTTTGTGTGTGTAAAGCAGAACTAATGAAACCTAGGTTTGCATGGAGCTGTGTCCAATGTCACCTAAACCACAAGCCACAAAGCGTCTTCCCCAGCCACCCCACAATTCCATCGAGGGATTGTAATCTCCACACCACCCACCTCTTCATCACCAGTTTCCTGATTCTCTCAGGTTCCCAGCAGACTTTCAGTGCTCCTTTAGATTCCCCCAAGTATTGTCTAAGGCAGAGCAGCGCTGTTCTGGTGGGTTGGGAGCAGCTTGTGGACTTGCTGACCAAACGTCATGTATTTATTCATCAGAAAAGAGAGTACATGACATGGTCTTTTCTCGCTATTGGAAGCACCAAGAGGCTCTCTTTCCTCCTCCACCTGCCTGCTAGTTTTATCAAAACAAGCAGAAGTGTGAAATCCTTGAGACCTTTCTGTAGTCAGTCCATTGGTTCAAAATTACCAGCATAAGGGACGACATACAGAAAACAAGAGAGAGTCTAAGTCTTCCTAGGGTGCAAGGCTGTCCTTGTGTTAGGACATATGGGAAGATGGATCAAGCCTCTGTGCTTAACACAAGTGACGAATTAGGCATCTAGCTGTTTTCAGATTTCTCTTCCATGCAATAACAGCCCTTGTCTTAAATCTTAGAGAACATTGTGTTTTTATAGAAAAAAAAAGTGCTAGACAAATGTTAATGGCACCAAGACTCACAAAGAAAATTACATTTTGAGACTCATCCTGCTATAGTTATTTTACTGTTTATCCTGCACTTCCCAGGATGTATTCAGCTTCCATAAACCAGGACCAGGACTGAAAAAAGACTGTTTTAAAAACATCTTTATTATTTATAAAGACCCTTGGAGAACCCTTGTTTTTAAATACAGCATATGCTAAAACTAGTTCAACAATGAAAATTGGAAGGGAGAAAGAAGACACAAAGGGGGGAAATCAAGAATGATTTATACACGATAGTCATGTTTGACAGCTGTTATTTTTCAAATGTAATATAATGACCCATCCTGCCATATCGCCTTAACCTCAAAAACCAAACTGAGCTGGGTGCAGGCTATGAGCAAGGAATCTCTAAACCACCAAAGGCCTGAAATTAGGAGATATAAACTGGTAGAGAGCTTACTCAGTATCTGATCCTGCTTCTTGTGCTTTCACTGTGCTGCCTGTATGCTCTTTTGTATGGCCCACTATGACCAATGCTCTTATGCAGTGTCAGCAGACAAGGGTTTGACCTGGGTTTTGTCTGTACATGTGATGTGCCTATAATTATCACAGAATCACAGAATGATATGGGGTTGGAAGGGACCTCTGGAGATCATCTAGTCCAACACCCCTGCTAAAGCAGGTCCACCTAGAGCAGGTTGCACAGCAACTTGTCCAGGCAGGTTTTGAATGTCTCCAGAGAAGGAGACTCCACCACCTCTCTGGGCCGCCTGATCCAGTGCTCTGCCACCCTCAAAGTGAAGAAGTTCCTCCTCATGTTTAGATGGAACTTCTTATGTTCAAGTTTGTGCCCATTTCCTCTTGTCCTGTCACTGGGCACCACTGAAAAAAGACTCATCCCATCCTCTTGACACCCTCCCTTTAAGTACTTATAAGCATTGATCAGATCCCCCTTCAGTTGTCTCTTCTCCAAACCAAAAAGACCCAAGTCCCTCAGCCTTTCCTCATAAGAAAGATGCTCCAGGCCTCTAATCATCTTCATAGTCCTTTGTAGTACCCTCTCCAGCAGTTGCCTGTCCTTCTTGAACTGGGGAGCCCAGAACTGGACACAGTAGTCCAGATGGGGCCTCACCAGGGCAGCGCAGAGGGGCAAGATAACCTCTATCGACCTGCTGGTCACACTCTTCTTGATGCAGTCCAGGATGCCATAGGCCTTCTTGGCCACAAGGGCACATTGTTGGCTCATGGTCATCCTGTTGTCCACCAGGACCAGGTCTTTCTCCTCAGAGCCGCTCTCCAGCAGGTCAGCCCCCAAGCTATACTGGTGCATGGGGTTATTCCTCCCCAGGTGCAGCACCCTATACTTGCCCTAGTCAAATTTCATCAGGTTCCTCTCCGCCCAACTCTCTAATCTGTCCAGGTCTTGCTGTACGGCAGCACAGCCTTCCGGTGGGTCAGCCACCCCTCCCAATTTTGTATCATCAGCAAACTTGCTAAGGGTACATTCCATCCCTTCATCCAGGTCATTCATGAGTATATTGAAGAGGACTGGACCCTGTACTGACCCCTGGGGAATTATGTGTAACAGTTTTGCGTATTTTGTACATTTTGTATATGATCTCAAAAACAGAGCAAGGCTGACTAGAGTGAGGGATGAGGGGCATCGGAGAGTATAAAATATGAAATGAGGAGTAGGAAAATTTGAGAAAAGGTATGTGAGGGAAAGTGTAGGATTGGGAGAGTGTAGTAAGAGCTTAGAGATGAAAGATCCCAGCAGCTGATGGACTCTGGCAGTCCACATGCAAGACGCTGATAATGGTGATATGAAAAAGAGAGTCTAGTAAGAGCCTGCTGTGATTCAAGTGTTTGCAGTCTGCGAGGGAACTGAAAAACTTGAAACTGCAGCTCAGAAGGGATTCAGGAGCTGTGACGGAGTGAATGAGCACTTCTGCCTACTTGTGTCTTTCAAATGGGTGGTAGCTCCCACCTCAACCGATGCAGGCTCCTTCTCTGAGTGTCAATACTAACTCCACAGGCTGCTGAAAAGCACATCTGCCAAAAGCATCTCCATCACCCACCACTTTGTTTGTATCACCATCTCTGTAGATCCTCTGAATAGCTTCCCACCGCACGAGGATCTGTGTTCTGCGACTTCTGATCACCAAAAATCATCACCATGCTCCCAAGCAACCATCTGTCCCTGCTCCTGACTAATCCCCCTTCGTCCACAATGCATTCTGCGGGGTATCTAAACCCTCAGCAGCCTTAGCAGCATCCACCAGCCACGCTGCTGTTTTCTGGATCGTTTTTCTGCTGCCTGACATACCCCTCTGTGCATCACGGGTATAATTCATAATTTTTCCTTTTAACTCCTTTACCTCACGCAGCCTCTGCAGCTCTCTGCGACCCAGTGTCTTTTGTCAGCTCCCATCCTCCACTCCGTCCCCTGCCAACAACACCAACCTCCGTATCTTTTTCATCTTGTCCCACAAGGCATTTCTATACCTTCTCTGCAGCCTGTTATGCTTGGGAAAAAAATCTGTTCATCACACCTCCACCCTCATCTCATTGAAATTAGTGCTAAAAACTCGGTTTTGCTGTAAAACCCTGTAAAAATGAGAAGGAGGACTGGTAACAGAAATCAGAAAAGAATCTCCCAACCTTGCCCTCATATCAGCAGCATCAATATGTGTCTGTGGCTTAGCAGATCCCTTCATGATCTTTCAGTTGTCACTTTCATTCTTCCTTTTCCTTCCCCATCTGTTTTTGGTCCTCCATTCCTAGCTCATGCTGAATATAAATCACACTCCTCGGCAGAGAGACCATATTTTTCCTTTTAGTTTGAACAGCACAGCACATTTCTGAATCTTTTTTATTTTTTTTTTCTTTTTAATGTGAAGCATGAAAATAATTGTTAATAATCATGAAGATTGAATACATTCCAAGTTGGTGACATCTCCTGAGGAAAACGTTATTTTCATATGACAAAATGTAGAGGGCGGGGAGTGAGACAATACAAGATTTAAACACACTGGCTTAACGGGGAGTCTGGCAGATTAAATGCTCTGTAGCCAAACGCACGTAGTATGAACCAGGAATTGTTGAAACTGGTGGCAGTAACGAAGATGCTCTGAGCGAGCCATAATCTATAAAAGTGCAGCTCAGAGAGCATTGGCCCCATCTTTATTCCTTATCACAGAGCTTGCAGTTGCTTTCTCTCAGCACGAATAGCATTTTTTCATCGAGAAAATCCAATTCTAGGCTTCCTCTCTTTGTTCACTTGTTACCGAATTAAAATCCTATTAAACTGCACACCTGCAGTGGGTTTATCTGCAGAGCACCGTGCTGTAGCTTTTAATCCAATTCCACACCTCTGGAACACACAATATACTGCAAATCAGGGCGCGCAGAGACGGAGGTTACGCTGTTCATAGCTCTGTTGGCAGAGAGCAAATCAAACACTTTGATTTGTTGAAAAGGCAGAAAAAAATAAGGACATAGTTAACTATTTCACTTAAAGGAATGCTAAGTGTTCTTCTGAGTGGTCTCTATAATCCAGGATACAGAGATCAAGTGAAATCATTAACTAAAATGATCAAAAAATGAGAGTAAAATCTTGACCCTGCTTAAATTCAGTGGCAAAACTTCTGCTGATTTTAAGAAAGCCAGGATTTCAGCATGAAAAAGCAGTTCCCATCGGGGGGAGAGACAGGCTGAGACTATTTGTTTTGAAAGATAATAGTAGAGCTTATAGCAGACATATGAAGTGTGAATGATGTATTAAAAAGTATATGTGGCCTTCTGTCAGACCTTTGTCACCCTATGAGGAAACCCAATGCGTAGCTCCTCTTGTTGGGTTAATTGATGTAAAATAAGGTTGGGTATCTGCAAAATACCTCGGGTTCAACAGGGAAGAGCAGAGATTACTTTTTTTATTCAACGAAGGGAGAAAGGAGGATTTGCAGTCCCTACAGTCAAAATGTTGCCATGTTTCTTTTCTAATTTTCAGCTCATTTGGGTCATTTTGGAAGAGAGAATTCTAAGTTAGATTTTCCAGTCGAAAGAGAAGCACTTCTTACTCAAAAGGATGGACAGACATGCTTTATTTTTGCCTCTGAGGAACAGCAAATCTTCAGAGAAAACCAACCTGACCTGAAAATTCTTTATGCTGGACCATTCTTACTTTTTGAAACAACTTTAAGAAATACTGTTTTCATTCTCTTAAATTCAAGATTATTTTTTTTTTTAAATACTAAATGTGAAACTGCTAGCAACAGTTATTTTGCCACATGATTTGATTGTTTGACTTTAGTTGAATAAATCTTCAGAAGAAAAATGTGAAATATTTGTGGTTTGTTTTTATCTAGTTCTTGTATTTTTTCTTGTCAGTTAAGCGGAAGGCCTACCTGAAGTGCTAAGTTTATCTGGAAGCTACAGGATTGATGAACGACTCTGTGCCAGCGCTGCTTGGTGTCTGCAGTGCTGTCATGGTTTAACCCCAGCCAGCAGCTAGGACCACGCAGCTGCTCGTGCAGTTCTTCACCTTCACCCAGAAGGGCAGGGAGAAGAGGGAGAAAAGGAGGGGAAAGGGAAAAACATCATGGGTCGAGATAAAGACAGTTTAATAAGTAAAACAAGAGCTGCACACACAAGCAAAGCAAAACAAGGAATTGACTCCCTGCTTCCCATGGGCAGGCAGGTGTTCAGCCATCTCCAGGAAAGCAGAGCTCCATCACACGTACCAGTTACTTGGGAAGACAAACACTGTCGCTCCAAATGTCCCCCCCTTCCTTTCACCCGCTTTATCTACTAAGCATGATGTCATACGGTGTGGAATATCCCTTTGGTCAGTTGGGGTCAGCTATTCCAGCTGTGTCTCCTCCCTACTTCTTGTGCACTCCCGGTCTGCTTGCTGGTGGGGTGGTGTGAGGAGCAGAAGAGATTTGACTGCCTAAGTATTAATTTAGTTTAGGCATTAGTTTAGTTTTGACAACCAAAACCATGAGTGCACTATCATCACTGTTGCCATCCCAAACCCAAAACATGGCACTGTACCAGCTGTTAGCAAGAAAGTCAACTCCATCCCACCATATAGAATTTAGCACTCATTCCTATGTCTTGAAAAAGTCCTGCTTTGTTTCCCATTTCTTCAGGATACGATAACTCCATTAACTGAAATAAAATAGGTTGTGTATAATGTTTATGTCAGAACCCAGGCTGTTTGAACTTGTTCTATAAGCAAAGACTCTATAAAGAGAAACCCAGGAATAAATTTGTACAAAATAGTAAATACAGGGTATGAAGTGTGTATTTTGCATGCATCAGATTGCATGAGGAATTTCCCTGAAACACCAGGGAAACTGGGTTTTTAAATAATTTTGAAAAGCACGTCTACAGGGTCTGTTATTTCAAGAAGGGACAACTGTTCCGTTATTTTAAGGAAGGACATTTCCCGAACTAGAGAAAAGCATCAGGAGCTTATCGAGCTTTCACTCATTTTGGTTTTGGAAACATATATTTATTTTCCACTTACATCTACATTCTTCTGTCTCAGCTTAAGCACTGAAGTGGGAATCAATATTCAAAAGGGTGATATTACAGCAGATGTAGATGGGGCCAGGTGCTAAAGGAACAGGTAGTTGTGTGTTTGGTTTTGCTGGTAAGATTAAGAGTTTGGTTGCAAAATGAGATACCGTGGGGAGTATCTTCACAGTCCAAAAAATTAATTTGGGCCTTAAGGCCAATTATATCCATTTTCACCATTCCTTCAGGTTTTTATGGTGAAGACAAAAAACAAAACAGAGGGTCTAGGAAAAACATAAGCTAAAAATACACAATATTTCAGTCCACTTTTATTTTTAAAACTTTATACTTTACATTAGATATGCAGCATATTGTCATGGAGCAATTAAGCAGAAGTTGTAAGAGCAGACCAATCTTGTGATCTGTTCTTCTATGGAAAGGTAAGGTCTAGTAGATTTATCCAAGAACCTTGTGAAAGGCAAAGGCTCCTGTGAGACTCCTTCCTCCCTGTCTCCTATTAAACCTGCACTCCTTAAATGATACGCATGAATGCAATGAAATTTTACAAGCGTAAATTTTAAAGAATTGTGAGTTTGCATTGCCATACTGACGGGGTCTACTGCCAAGAACAGAAAAGGAGCAGGATGCAAAAGCGCCTTTACTGAACAGGGTCATTGGTATAAACTCAAATATACAGAATCACAGAATCACCTGGGTTGGAAGGGACCTTTAAGACCATCATTCAAATCCTCGCCTAATTAAAACCTTGCCCGGGAAACCTATCATTTAATAGCTGCTCCACGTACTTACATGTCAAACTGAACCCCATGAGCACCAGAACTAAGGAGGTCTGCCTCCCTGGGACTGGAGGTCTTGCTGGTGCTCCACGCCGGGGTCCAAAGGAAGCTTTCCCTGCAAGGGGAGCGTTCGGGTGGGCGCTCTCCCTCGTGGATTCTCTTTTCTAATCAATGAAGAGACTGCACCGTCTCTACTGCCGTGGGTCCGTGTGCCTTTTGCTTTGGGGGCACGCGTGGAGAATTATTTCATCTGACACCCACCCGAGGCCACTCACTGGACTCCTGAGCCCCCTCCCCTGGCAAACGACAAGCAAATCCAGGGCAACCCCCCCGAGGGGGGCCACCATCCGCCCCAAACTGCACCCACGCCGCGGGTGACTCGTCCCACGTGTGTCACCAGTCCCCGAGCCGCACCGGGGGTGGTGGGTATGTGTGGGGGGAGGGGGGTGTGTGTCATGACATTTCACTGAATTTCACTGAATTTTTTTTAGAGTTGGAAGGGACCACAGAGATCATCTAGTCCAACTCCCCTGCCAAAGCAGGACCACCCAGAGCTTGTCAGATCATGCCACTCAGGACTGCATCCAGGCGGGTCTTGAAAATCTCCAAAGAAGGGGACTCCAC